CCATACTTTGGTCAATTATTCATGAGATTCACTATATCTATATAGTTTATCAATTGTACATATGTCGCAAAACTGATTATGATGGAAATTGTTTTGCGTTTTGGAACTTGGCAATTTCTACTTCAAGGTCAATCAAAAAGTTTAGTTTAACGCGATAAATCTTATCAGATGCAATACACAAGCTACCGTCAATTCACAGTTAGGTCCAGTGTAGGAAGCTATATAGCTTGAATTTAACAAGAATGTTCTTTTCAGGATTTAAATCGAACTTGAGTTTAATCTTATTAGGATTAATAATATTGATTACATTTTCACAATTGGTTCTCGTGAAATTGATTGACAGTAGCATAGGTAAGTGTTGTCATTCTCACTTGGAATACAAGTGCCATTATTCACGCAAAGATTGGAATCGCACACTGTAACTGAATCATGTAGACCGAGAAACTGAAAAACAAATTAAAAGTGAACACTGGAATGGTGTGTAACATACACACAGACGAGATTTCCTAGAGAAATTTATTGACCAGTTTTGTATGCAGCTTCATTGAGCACAATCATAAGATATATACCGCCACCTTCCCTTACTAGCATATACTGATCTAGACCAATTCAATTCAATTCAATTTAATTCATATATAACACGTGTACCCACCAACATTTTCACAGTTTTGTCCAGCGTAATTCGACTGACAGAAGCAGTAGTAGGCAGAATTATCGTCATTCACAAAACATGTACCATTGTTTAAACAGGGAGTCGAATCACATGGGCCAACTACAGTAAGTAAAATGTATGGATGAGTGAAAGTTAAACATGATTGAGTTATAATAGCAAAATGCCATCACATTGATTCTTCCTCACTGGAATTTTTAGCGTAATTGTTTTATAATTAGGCTGTAGTATATAGCAGTTGGAGTATTAAACGTGTAATGTGTATAGGTAAAGCGGTTAGAACGGCTATCGCCAATACAACGATTAACATTTTGTTAATGCAGTTTGTCTACTATACGTTAAATAACACATATATTTAGTAACTACCTTCAGTATCACACGTTGTCCCACTATATCGAGACGTGCAGGAACATATGAATAAAGTAGAGTCAATAAAACCTATGAAACATGTTCCACCATTGTTACAAGGGTTAGGATCACATGCATCACCTGGTAAGTTGAATTAGCAGAATACAAAAGTAAAACATTTTTTAAGTACGAACAGATTAGACGTAATAATTGATCATAATCAATCCAGACTAACAGGTAAACATAAACAAAGCATTCAGCTTTTTGACACTTCGTTCGCACAACTCGGATTTACTACGATACACGTGTTACTATATTAAAGAGAACGAAAGCGATGAAAAAATATGAACGAATTCTCCATGTGCTGTAAATATGTTGATGAATATATTAATTGGATTGGACGTTTTTTTACATAGAGTTACACGAAGTGTTATGACAAATTTAAACCTAACATTGTCATGGAAAACTACCCTCCTACTATTAGTCTAATGTTTCTAATTTGTTTTATAGAAATTTGAATTTGCACTACCTCTTATAAATAAAAAAAATAGCTACCTTCTATTTCACAATTGTCCCCAATATACCCAGTTGAACAAATGCATGTGTAGTTCAACGTGTTTGGATTATCTTGAAAGCACGTGCCACCATTCTGACATGGGTTGGGAATACATGCACCATTGCTTTCTAAATATGATAGAAAAACAAAATCATACAATTGCTAAATACATTCCACCATTGCTACAGGGATTGGAATCACGTGCGTCATCTTGTGTGTCGACGAATTATACAGTAAAAAACCCATAATACTAGTATAGCATAATTGAAGTAAATATCTAAACGTGTATCAAGACGTGCAAGGTGAACACAAACCAAGTAATTATTTTCAATGCCACGCGTTGACCCAGCATACCCAAATAAACGTGCACAAATAACACATTAGGTAGAGTTATGTTCTATCATTTCAACAAGGGTTAGGGCCATACATGTTAGATGGTGCGTTAAAGTAGATAGATACATTTAAGTTTTTGTATGAACGTTCTTTTCTATGTAAAACAGTGATAATTCCGGTTTAGAAAACTTGATTAATTTAGATTTAAAAATGGGAATTACGCAACAAGATCTTCAAAATGAAAGATTAATTTAACTACATGCATACTGTTATATTTTAAAGATTCCATATCGACTAGTTATTTGTTAATTATGTATATTTCCCCTGATATGAATATGCATCAAATAACAGGAAGAAATTATATAAATCGTGGCATATATTATCAGTCGAAATTGGTGCATTTTGATTGAAAATCAGGCTCAACCTCAACACTCAAATTGCATTATTGCGTATACCACTTAATAATTAGAGGGCAATACAACTACCTTCTGTTTCGCAGTGACTCCCATCATACCCAGTGGTACATATACAGATGAACAAAGACGTGTCAGCAGCATAAAGGTAACATGTACCGCCATTCTGACACGGGTTGGGTGAGCATACATCGATATCTTCTAAGAGCACATACATTTGAAGCAAAATAAAAAAGATGAAATTAAACATAAATAATTCAAAACATTATGGTAACAACTAACATAAAGTCAATTTTTAGATTTGAAATAGTTGGAAGATAAAGCTCGATTCCTTTCGAGTGACAAATGAGAGTTAAGACAACGTCATAGTAACGCATCGGCTAAATGACACGTAACATACAGCGCGTAGAGTTTCAGGCTATCATAAAGTTTATACAGGTTATTATTTGTTATTATTTGGCTAATGAAACATGTTACTTTTTGTCAGAACAAAGCTTTATAGCAGATGAGTTTCTATAGATTTATATAAATATCTGTTAAATTCAGAGAGGTATATTGTGATGGCAGTATTATATTTAAGTACATTTTAAAAAGCAATTATTTAGTCCAGAATATTAGTTTTCCTAAAATATGCATTATCATGCGAGATATAATTACCATATTTAGTTACGACAGTTTGCTCTACAGTATTACTCTTTCATACATACAGTGGTGTATCAGCGAATAATAAGATAAGATAATAAAATAAGATGTTCCACCATTTTGACAAGAATTTTACAAGCAAGAATCTTTTTATAGTAAATTAGGTTTGATTTGATATGCTTGCTGGCAAATTGAAATAATAAAATGTTAATAATTACACCGCACACTACTAACACGAAATATATATACAGCAGATTATAAAATATTTATGGTTCACTGTGATAACATTTTTTTTTCAAAAATAGGGAAACGAGACGAGAATACATCTGTGCTGACCGTGTTGGAATTTGTATTAGTGTGGTTATCGTTGAGCTGTTGTTACTAAGCAACATTATATTACCTTGCGTTTCACAGTTTCTACCATTAAAGCCATCGGCACAGGAACATATGTAATCGCTAGAATCGTTTTCATTTGGCAGACAAATTCCGTCATTTAAACAAGGATTAGGAAGACATGCATAATCTATATAGCAAGAAACATAATCTTAAATAACATACATGCAAAGCTTGTAGAATGCAACATTCGTGTATTTCGTGCAAAAACAGTCAAAAAGGAAGTAGGAACGAAAATGTAAGCGGCTCCGAAACTGATAGAATTAAACTGGTTGAATTAACCTGTATTACTTTAAATTTACTGCGACAGCCTTGGGAAATATAATGATTAATAGAATTAGTTCCACAACACTGCAAACCACCTACCTGATCAAATACGCCAGCATAGCTAGCATCCATCGTCTCGCATTCCAAGCCTCGAGCAAGACTGATTTCAGTTTTGTATTAAGCGCTCGCACATGCACATACATTCATTACATACATAACCGGAGCTATTTATCTATTTATTTATTTATTTATTGGTAAGATGCAAGTTTATCAAGACGAGTTACTTTAGATAATTTCACCCATGTAAACCTTATTACCCATGAAATAATGACCCACCGACTGATTGTTCGCAGTTAAGACCATTAAATCCTTGAGGGCATACGCAAATGTACGAGTTGCTAACATCATTAACGAAACATGTAGCGCCATTCTGGCAAGGGGAGGATTCGCACGCAGTAACGGCAGCTGAATAATTAGGAAAAACAAAAACCATTAAAATAATATACTCAAATGAAAAATACCTCAGATACACCTCGCCTTACTGGGAAGGTATTTGTAACAGATTCAACAGTACTTAAATTGTTCGTATTGCATATTTATATAATTTATGTTGCATTTTAATCATTTAAGTATAGGAGACTAAAGTCAAAACATCGATGAGAGATGAGAAATAACTTATTGTGGTTCATCCTAACATTTAAATGCTAAGTCCCGTGAATAGACAACTCACCAATCTCGGAAACAATTCCTGACGTCACACCCGTCCAATATGTGCTGTAGTTCCGTACTATCGTCGCTCTAAAATAATCAACGAAAGAAATTATTTATTTAATAACATTCAGTAATATCGGATAAATGATATTTATTGCCATACTCCTATTAAATACCAGAGGTCAATATTCTAGAAATATTTTCCAGATCTATACCTCCTGAATCATAATGTCTCAGAAATTATAAAGAAATTATAAAGAAAATTACATTATGCTATATCCGTAATATATATATATATCAATTTGATTAAGTATGTCATATCATTAAATGAAATTAGTCTTAAAAGCATACTACAAATTTATAATTTTCTTCAATGTTGACTTGCTAATGCCATGAGATTAAATGTTCATTTTAAAAACCTAATTAAGCAAATCAAATAAAATACAGACTGTAGGACAAAACGCAATCAAGTTACTCGTAGTAAAGTACTAAACATGTTTAAATATCTACACGCCATTTTAGCGAATTTAACTCCATGCATGAATTAACTGAATCTTAATTTAGCAAAAGTGTTGACAATCTCATTGTGAGAATATACTTTACAGCGAAATTACAGATTAGCTAAATGAGCTAAAATAACATGCTAGCTAAAAGGACATGTTTTACAGTATTCTCCTGCAGCTGCTGCTGCTTCAAAAGACATAACTACGTTTATATCTACATTCATGGTAGCATAAGTGATGTAACAATTGCATGTCCTGTCCTGATGCATCAACGTAAGGCGACACAAATCTGGTCTTACATATAGCTTTTTTTTCAGACGTAGATTCTGCCGCTTTCCATCTCTAAGGGTAACACATCATGATTGTCACTTGCTTGTTCTTTGGCAGATAATTTAAAGGAATGCTGAGCGTGACTAGCATACCACTATTCCTGGGAGTTTAATTTAAATTTTACTAATGTAAATCTACGTTTTTACTATTTATGTCACCATTACCCATTTGCGTACTCAGGTATGTTTATAATAAAGTCTACGACATGCGAATAAACCTTATAGCAATTAAGGTCACCCATTGCCTAGGCAATGGCACGTCTTGCTTTAGTGAGTGCAGTATGCTGTAACTGTCAAAGCGGTATTCACTCACTCATATACAGGGTAGTTGGTGTAATTCCACTAATTCGCATTCCATAGTATAGAATAGATTCGATGTGTTCACGTTAGATGTTATTATATAAAAATCTGACAGGTGTATGTAATGTAATTAATTAATTGTTCTGCTTCAAGAAAATAAAAGGTTGTCTTGATTATTTATTATCTGAAATGAGTGATTGAGTTGACACTTCGATGTAATTGGTCATCTACACCACGTGTTCGTATCACATGTAATAGAAATGATAGATGTACAAGAGTGAAGAGAAGCAGCTGCCGATGAGCAAAGTGTGACTTACTGTACTGGGTCATAATATGAAATTTAATTTAATTTTTACCATTTTTACATACTGAGTATTTGTGTTAATATACGTCAAGGCCAGCCAAAATAGCACATTGTGTGGCATTTACATTTACATGTATATGTAAACCGTTCTTAAAGAGCTGCATGTCGGCTCTTGCATATGAGAAATGTTCCGTATTTAGGGTCATTGCGGTTTTGGTGGCCGTATTGAGGAAAGCATGGCCAGTAGGAAGATTTACGGGGGTCGCCTCAATCGAACAATTTACTTTGTATTATACAGAAACTAGACGATAACACTGTTTTTACACCGGCCAAGTGTTAGAGAGCGAGTAACCAATCCGCAATGGCGACACAGCTGGTGATTTTTTGTAGTAATAAGAGCAGGCCATGGTCTTACTAACCATAATTCCTCGCTGAATACTTCAAAACAGCTGACCAGAATGTTGTAATGTTGTTTTGAGTAGTGACGTCGTAAAGCGTATAGGCGGCTGAGTGGTATATATATATATTGTAATCGTTTTCAAATAATCGGCATATGTGCGCATTTTTTGCAAATACTTTACAAAGAAGGGCTGCTATTTATTCTCAACATGCGTTCTCTGTAAGGTCACGTGGTTTTACAGACACCTTAACGCTATTCAATATTCAAATTATCTGTGTGGATTCTGATGCAGACGACATTGGGCAATTAGAAATAACAACTGTGCGCATGCGCCACACACGTCTTCCGGTTACATTTTCTCAACACATTTATATGACAGTCCTACGTAAAAATGTAGTCTGTCAGACATAAGATGTGCATGACAATTCGAATATCTAAGCAAAAACAATCGACTTACACGAAATATACTGCTCCAGTCCCTGCCGTTGGTGCTAGCCAGGTAAAATGAGTGGGGTTGGGTTTTAGACTAGCCCCGTCCGAATGAGTGATCGCATCATTTGTATTTGAACACGTTGTTACTTTTGTATTCGTCGGTGGATTTTCCCACGTCCCCACTGCAGTGGAAGAGGTGGAAACAGCACTTCGGGCCTGTAGAAGAATCCCGCCAAATTCATCTCCATGAACACTAACTGCAAAAATAAATTACAAATGTTATTGTCACCAGTTTCCAGGACGTAGAAGCATTTTTGACGCGTTCTCTACGCGCACCATTTATACATTTGACAAATTGAATAATCAAATGCATGCGATTTAGTCAGGCTAACATTTATTGAATAATATAGTGCATTTTGCTGTTTATCATTTACCATTAAATGTCGACAAATCTCCCCCAGTGATTTTCCTTAATCATGCGCAACTTTGCAAATTAACACCTTAAAGGTCAAATACGGGTTCAAACCAGTGTTCGGTGCTGCGTTTGACCCATAATATTTACCTTCTAATGAGTTTGGTTTACTCGAGTGTTACGTAGATAAATTATTCACAAGGGTACCATAATAGTTCCCTAACATAGAATTGAGCTGGTCGACATCGTATAGTTCAATGACATGGGATATGGTGTGGCGTCAAACAAAAGAGTGTAATCGTGGCCATTGCAGTGGCAAAACAGTCGCATTGGTTCGAATTAATAGTGACAATCAATCAATCGTGTTGCTGTTCGTGTGGCATGTACAGTAGGTGGAAAATGGCAGGCGGACTATTCCTTTTTTTTTTTAAAAAAAAGGTTTTTGATATTTTTTCTCAAAATATTTTTTCAATTGAAACATCCATTAAAATGTACACTATGTCTA